CTCCCTCCCCGCACGCCTTCCTCCCCGCACGCCTTCCTCCCCGGCCGGTCATGGGGCTTGAGCACTGTCCCTGATCGGTTTTTTTTACTCAAGACGTAGTTATTTTTTATTTATTTTCTGCCCAGGCTGGCTTCGAACCACAATCCTCAGATCTCAGCCTCCTGAGCAGCTAGGATGACAGGCGTGAGCCACCGGCGCCCGGCTATAGGTGTTTCTTTAAAGGAATGGCGGGAAAAGTGCACCAGATATGTTGAGGCGCCGTAGTATGTTTAGCGTGCTCACTCAGTGCACACCCCGCATGCGCCTGGCACATTTTCTTTTCTTTTTTGGAGGTAGGTGACCCCACAAGAACAAGGCAGATAGAGGGGAGGGGGGGTCAGCAGCATCAGGTGCTTCTGGGAAACGAAGCCAGGGTGAGCTTGGCGAGAGCAGGGTGTGAGGGACATGGTGGAGGTGGCAGCGGATGGCAGCGGGCTGGGGAGTGAGCCGGAGGTGAGGCGTCAGATGGAGAAAGTCCTCTGTCCCTGGAGGGAGGCGCCCTGCGGCTTTGATGAAAGCTGATCATGACCTCAGCAGAGTTCACGGTGGATGGCAGGGGGGAGAGAACAGCTGGTGTTTGTCAGCCAAGAGGAGACTGGGTTGGAGCAGGAATTTCGAGAAGAAGGCAGGAGCAAGAGACAGGAAAGTTCACAGTGCAGGTGCCAGCCCAGGAGAGCGTTGGCCCATCTCAACCAACAAGCCAGGGGTGGCGATATATCCATGCCATGCCAACCAGTCCACACGCATAGCTGGTGGTCCTGGCCTCGGGTGAGAGTACAAGACTCTACCTGGAAAATAACGAAAGCAAAAATGGCTGGGAGGGCTGCTCAAATGGTAGAGCACCCGCCTAGTGAGTGCCAGGCCCTAAGTTCTGAAAACCTCAGTTGAAAATACATCAGGCTTGTGTATATTTGTGAATGTGCTAAGGCTGGCTTCAAACCACCATCCTCCAGCTCTCAGCCTCCCGCATAGCGAGGATTAGAGGCCTGAGCTACTTTTTGACAAATGGTAGCTCCAGTCCCTCTGAGCTCCTTATGCTTTATTTTCCAAATCACCATTTTCTGTTATTGAGTAGAACCTTAAAATTACACTGTTAGGTGCTTCCAAAAATGTCCCATTGAGATCCATTTGTACAGGGCTGAATTGTATCTCTAAATTACATGTTTGCTCTTTCCAAGCAGGAGGCCAGCAGGCTTTGAGATATCTTCTGTATCTCAGAGAGAGAGAGGGGGGCGGTATATGAGCATGTGCTTTCCTCCTACAGATCCTATGAGGCTTCTAATGACCTTAATTAAGGCCTTTACTCTTTGCTCTTCTACTCTTTTTTTGGTCCGGTCATGGGGCCTGAACTCTGGGCCTGGGCGCTGTCCCTCAGCTCTTCAGCTCAAGGCTAGCGCTCTACCACTTGAACCACAACGCCACTTCCAGCTTTTTTCTTTTTTGCTTATGTGGTGCTGAGGAATCGAACCCAGGACCTCATGCATGCAAGGCAAGTGCTCTACCACTGAGCCACCTTCCCAGCCCTCCTCTTCTACTCTTTTAGAATGTTTGTCTTGTCATGTTTTTGGCTGGTATTGCTAGGATTGTAAGGGTAGCTACTGAGTTCTTGCATTTTTGTTTTTATCTGGCCATTTGATTTGAAGTTAATGATGTATTTTTTCTTCTTTTTTTGGGGGGGTGGGTGGGTCGTAGGGCTTGAACTCTGGGCTTGTGTACTGCCCCTCAGCTCTTTAGCTCAAAGCCAGAACTCTCCCGCTTGAGCCACAGAGCCACTTAGGGTTTTCTGGTGGTTTATTGGAGATAAAGAGTCTCACGGACTTTCCTGTCTAGGCTGGCTTTGAACCTCGATCCTCAGATCTCAGCCTCCTGAGTAGCTAGGATGACAGCTTGGCTTTTTTTTTTTTCTTTAATGCTGGGCCTTGCGCAGGACCTTCACAGCACCACCCCTAGATTCACCTAGGCCTTCAGGAGAGAGAACTGTATCCCGCGCCTCCTTTGTGACTTCGTCTCCTCTTGTAGTTCATAGTTGCTCTTTTGAATTGTATATGTATATCTGGTTTCAATTTTAATGATATTACCTTTGTTATTTTGCCTTGAGATACTCTTTTGGCTGATGCTTTAATGCATATTGCGTTTCCCAAAATGCTGCTTGGCCTTTCCCTTGAACTGTTCTGTAGTGAGCAACGAGGGCAGATTATTAACAAGTGTGCAGAGGAAAAGAAGAGTCCACATACGAGTGACTCTGGAAAATAAACCCTATGAAGACTGACCACAGCTTACAACAGTCAGATGGATAAATCAGAGACACTCCCATAAAGCTGGGCGGCTCACATCTGTAATCCCGGCTACTCAGGAGGCTGAGATCTGAATATCACAGCGTGAAGCCAGCCTCTCTCGAAGGAAAATCCTTGAGACTATCTTGAATTAGTCAGCTATCAAGCTGGGCTGGCAGTGTGGCTCGAGTGCTAGAACACTAGCCATGAGTGAAGAGGCTGAGAGAGGTCAAGGCCCTGGGTGCCAGCATTAAAACAAGCATCCAGCCCATCAACTCGCAATCATGAATGGATGAAAGATTGGAACATAAACATGGCTGTGACCGGGAGAGGTTGCTTTGTTTCTGGGAATCTTCCTGTCCCTCTCTCCTCTCTCCACCTTTATCAGCAAGGATGGAGGCACACAAGGCAGTTCCAAGCCCAGCCCAGCACTGGGGAGTTGGAAAGCTGGTCAAAGGTAAAACATTTCAGGGTTTGGGTTCAACAGGCTGATGTCCATTGGCTGAGTCGCAGTTTCAAAGATATCATCAGTAAACAAGCAGCCCCAGTGATCACAGTCAATGATTTAACTGAAGACAATGGAACTAAGGTTTTATATCCAAGAAGGCTGAGTGGTTAAATAGAAGTTGAAAAAAAAAAGAAAAATATATGAAATAGGAATGAAGAACTAAATTGTTTGTTTTTTTTCAGTAATTCGAAGCAGATTGAATTTCTGAAGTAGATGAGATATTTAAAGATGTTTTTCTCAGCAGTATTTGTAATAGCAAGAAAAGGAAGCTACCTTTTTGTTTCTGTTGGTGCTAGAGATTGACCCTAGAGCCTTATACATGCTGAGTACGTGCTATGCCACTGATTGACACTCCTAGCTCCCAGAAATGGAGGTTATTTAAATGCCTGGTAGTTAAAAAGTTCCAACTAAATTGATGCATATTCAGTTTAGAATAATATATAGCTGTCATGCAAGATGGCTCATGTCTATAATCCCAGACGCCCAGGAGGCTGAGATCATGAGGAGGGTGGTTTGAGGCCAGCACTGGCAAAACAGTTTAAAAAGCTTCATCTCAACCAATAAAAACTGGGTGTGGTGGCACAAATCTGTCATCCCAGCTGTATGGGAAATGTAAATAGGAGAATCACAGTCCAGGCCAGCAAAGGTAAATCCCAAGATCGTGTGAAAGGGCGAAGTACTCTCAGTTGAACTTCCTGTTATGGTTCTTCTTCATGAGTATAGATTATAATCGTACTAAGCTCCATGCTGAATGTTTGCCTCCCATTCATGCAGCCAGGTTCAATCCCCACACATGGCAAATAAACAAGCAAACAAACAAACCTTAGCAATACTCAAAGGAAGGAGGTGACAGGATTGACCTAATCCTCTTTTTACCAAGTGTTTGGAGTGTGGCCGAGTAATGAACCCCAGAGTCTGCACAGATGCCAACGTAAGCACATAGGTGTTTCTTTTTTTGTTTTGGTTGTTATTGTTGTGGGTTGTTGGTCGTGGGGCTTGAACTCTGGCCTGAGCGCTGTCCCTCAGCTCTTCAGCTCAAGGCGAGCGCTCTACTACTTGAACCACAGCGCCACTTCCAGTTTTCTGGTGGTTGATTGGAGATGAGAGTCTCAGGGACTTTCCTGTCCGGGCTGGCTTTGAACCGTGATCATCAAATCTCAGCCTCCTGAGTAGCTAGGATAACAGGCTTGAGCCACTGGCGGCCGGCCATAGGTGTTGCTTTAAAGGAATGGTGGGAAAAGTGCACCCGATATGTTGGGATGCCATGGAATGTATGGTGCACTCACTTAGAGAATACCCGGCATGTGTACATTGGCACAAATGACTCCGCGGGCTCGTGTAAACACTCCTGGAAACACTCCTGTGTCCCTGTGCTGGGGTCTCGTGTCCGCCCCCTCCGCTTCCACCCAGCTGCTCAGAATCCAAACATCTGTTCCTTTTATGCCATGGCTTGGCTGGGCACCCTCGGGGCAGCCAGCAGCCTCCAGCAGGGAGGGAGGTGTGGGAAAGGGAGCGAGGTGGTACCTGTCGAGGACAACACACAGATTGCAACCCAGTTGTCCCTAGCTGTAACATCCTGCACCCCTCACCCCCACCCTCGGCTCATCTCCCCTCCCCCCTTCCCGGGCTGGAGCCTGGGCTTCCCCTCCCCCCCCAGGCCTGGTGGCTCAGCCTCCACCTGCATGGGGTCAGCTGGATTAACCTGTATTGGCCCTTCAGGCGAGACTAGTGGGAAAGTACCTATCAAGGGTTACTTACTGTGTGACCTTGGGCAGGTTACTCAGACTCTCTGATTCCCGTTTTCCCACCTGTAATGTTGTGGGAACCAAATGAAACAACAGTGCGTATAGGAGGCTTTGTGCCTTCTCAGAAAATGCCAGATGCTGGTACCAGATGTTTTTTCCTGAATAGACTTGGTTTAGGGAACATCTTTAAGTAGTAGCTCTATTCTACATCTCCACAGCTACAGGAACGTAGAAACATTGGGTAAATTTAGAGTTGGCGATGGCATTGATGAAAGATTTAGACTCTAGCCTGCTAAAACCACTCTCATTTTCCATTTTCCACAGAAAGCCTAGGTTTCAGTCTGGGAGTGTGGCTCAAGTGATAGAGCACCAGCCTAATAAGGGCCAAGCCCTGAGTTCGAATCCAACTACCACCAAAACAAACACAAAACCAAAAAAAAAAAAAACCTAGAGTGACATCACTTTTCAGAATGACACCAAAACATTTGACATTTGGTTTCAAACCTTTCCCCTGAAAAGAGGCACAGGCTGTATCTGACCAGCCAGGGCTTTTAAAAACAAAGAAATAATTTGGCTGTGGGAGTAGAGTCCTCCCCACTCTGCCCCCCCCCCTTCCCTGGCTGATGGAGCACCACAGGCAGGGGATAGGGCTCTGTCCCGGCACCTCTGGGGCCTTACAGGGCCACACACAGATAATGCGTTCCCCTAAGTGAGGAGGCCTTGAACAGGCCTCAGGGTGCTCAGGGTGCTCGGGGGTAGAAGGCTGGCTTCTTTCTATGTGTCAGTGGGACTGCAAATGAAAATCGCTGTGCTGAGCAGGGTACCTTCTAGAAAGCCCAGTAAGTCTGCCAGAGGTCTGACTCCCCCTTCACCAGGCTCCTTGCCCTAGAAGAAAAACAGGTCTAGAGTTCAAGTTCTGAATGTCCTCTATCAGCAAACACTCAGGCTGCTGGCTTGCCCTTTTTCTTGGCGGTTCTCTATGCAATTCTAAGGGTTTTGTTGTTGTTTTGGGTTTTTTGTCGGTTGTGGGGCTTGAACTCTGGACCTGATTGCCATCCCTGAGCTCTTCAGCTCAAGGCGAGGGCTCTACCACTTGAGCTACAGCGCCACTTCCGGTTTTCTGGTGGGTTATTGGAGATAAGAGTCTCCTGTCTTTCCTGCCCAGGCTGGCTTTGAACCATGATCCTCAGATCTCAGCCTCCTGAGTAGCTAGGATTAGAGGCGTGAGCCATCAGCGCCCGGCTCAATTCTAGGTTTTTTTAAGGGGAGAGATGGAAAGCGCATCCTGGCGGCCGCTTGCTGGCCTCTTGCTGGTGACAGGAGGCTCAGTGCCCTTTCTTCTCTCCCTCCTACCAGGTACTTACTGGAGCAAGACTTCCCAGGCATGAGGATTGGCCCCGAGCCCACCACCGACTCCTTCATCGCCGTCATGTACGGGGAGACCGAGGGCAGCACCCCCGGGAACGCTCTTGTCGTGGACCCTAAAAAGCCATTCCGGAAGCTGAGTCGCTTTGGAAACGCATTCCTGAATCGGTAAGGACCGGCCGTCGCTCACCCTGGGTAAACCTGCTCTTGGTGTTTATAAAAATCTAAACAGTGGTCTGTTGTAGAAGTCAGAGGACCCGCTGATCAGATCGAAATAGTCCCGTCACCCTTACCGATCCGTGGAAGTTTTCCACATGACATCATCCCACTTGCCAAGCTTTGCTTTTGTTTCCTGTGCTTCTAGAGTCGCAGCCAGAAAAGCCTGTTCCTGGACCCCAAGAACGAACATTGTTACCACATCCAAGCTCGCTCTTTGAACCCTTTCCTATCCCTCCCCTCCACCCGCCACTTCCCCCTATTGTGAGTCTTGCTTCAGAGATTGGGGGAGTAGCCCCGGTGGAGGGGTGCAGAGCTGGGGGAGCCCAGGGAAAGGAAGTCGAATTGGCACTGAGGCGCAGCAGGAGAGTTGAGCTACGCTTCTCTTTTCTAGATGTTTCCAGAAATAGGAATGGATGATCCTGCGGTCTGCTGCCAGTCCAGAGGCTCAGGTTCCTCATTGTGCAATTGCCCCCCCCGCCCCCCACACACTGGGGGCGTCATTGTGGGGGACAGCAGTACCTGTGCTGCAAAGCCGCACTCTGGAGGGGCCAGCTGAGTGGGAGATGCGCAGAGGGGTCACAGAGGGTCCGGCTTGCCATTAACAGTGACAGGCAGGACACGCGTAGAGCCCCGCGCCCTGAAATCCAGAGCTGTGAGAGGACCTAGCAATCCAAGGCTGAGAGGAAGTGAGGGGAGAATCTCCCCGGTACAAGCCTCCCGGGGAGCCCTGGCCCCCAGGCAAGGCAGCCAGCCTAGAAGGTTCTAGAAGCTCTGGAGAGCAAAAGACCGGTGTGTGTGTGTGTGTGTGGTGTGTGTGGTGTGTGTGGTGTGTGTGGTGTGTGTGTGTGTGTGTGTGTGCCAGCCTAGAAGGTTCTAGAAGCTCTGGAAAGCAAAAGACCGGTGTGTGTGTGTGTGTGTGTGTGTGTGTGTGTGTGTGTGTGTGTGTGTGTGTGTGTGTGTGTGTGTGGTAGTCTTTGTCAGGTGACAAAGGCTGACAGGAGAAAAAAAAAAGACTGCCACTCTTCTCCAGTACGCATTTCATGAAGCCTTAATTCAAAGGGAAGGCGGGAAGAATGGGTATCGGCTTGTTCCGCTGTCATCATGAGAACAGTTTGTTAGTCCAGCGCTAATGGCTCACGCCTGTAATCCTACCTACTACTCAGGAGGCTGAGATCTGAGCATGGGAGTTCAAAGGCAGCCCCCGGCAGAACAATCCATGAGACCCTTCTCTCCAACTAACCAGTAAAAAGTTGGATCTGGTGCTGTGGCACATAATGGTAGAATGCCAGCCTTGAAGGAAAGAGCCAAGCAAGAGCTCTCTCACGCCTTGAGTTCAAGCCTCAGCACCGCTGCCGACGTAAAATACATAATAACGTTGGTTGTATTTCTTTTTTAAATATCAAATTCATAGCAGTTAAGTGTAGAAAACAAGGCTTCAGGAAGGCCTCTGAGTGGCAAACTTCATGACCTCAAAACCTAAAACTCCCTGTGAACAGTAATCCATGCGCTGCGCATGAATTATTGAGTCCATAGCAACATTTAGAAAATCATAGCAGAGAGTGGCCCGCCATTTCCCCGGTCAGAACCTGTCCCAGACTTCGCTTGTGCATTAGATACAGAAAGCTCGGGCGGCCGACTTTGCATCGGCGGCACGTTTACCCAAGGTAGAGAGGAGGCGTTAGTGCACAGAGAGGTTGCTATACTTCCCCTGGGCTGCCCGGCCTAAGAGGCAGCGCGGGCGTTGGAGCCCTGTTCAGCAGCCGCTGCGTCCCGCGAGGGACCACATGGCTGAGCTGCGGAATCGTATGGTATTTGGACCGAGTCCTCGCCTGCTTGCGCCCGCTGAATTTTAAGACTGTGCTCTTAGGACAGCCCCTCAGCAAAGGTGAAGGCGAGGTTGCTGACTGCACCCCAAGTTCAGTTCACCATCAGTGGCTGAGGCGCAGATGAGAACACCGGAAGAGTCCCTCTGGAGGAGGCTGGCCCAGGACTAGGAGTCTGCCTAGCCAACGCTCCCCGACCCCTGCCCTGCTGGCCACGCGCGTGTGAGGCGTCCCGTGCAAATCCGCTGTGGGGCAGGGCGGCTGCCGGGAAAGTGGCACCGTAGGGAGGTGCTTGTAGGAGCCCTGGGGGAGCACCAGCAGGGTTACAAAGGTCAGAACCTCTTTTTACCTGGCATGGTCTTCTGGGAACAAGGTGGAAGTGCTCAGGGACAACAACCAGGCCCCAAGTTCAAGCCCCGATACCAGTACAAAAAGAAAGAAGAAAGCCAGTTCCCTTCGCGCTTTCCCCGTGTCGTGGTGACCTGGTCTTGCTATGTGTTGACTCGGCATTTTCTACCAAGAGCATTTGTCCTAGAGGTCGGGAGGGGAGCGCACGCCTGTGAACCCGGCACGCGGGAGGCAGAGGGAACGAGATTGCCGGCTGAGGCTGAGGGGCTAAAAGTTTGAGATCCTCCCCGAAAAACAAGCTAAAGACAAAAAGCAAAAGGCCTCGGGTGTGGCTCAAGGGGTGAGGTCCTGAGTTCAAGCCTGGTACCAGCAGATCAAACCCCAAATTGCCAGGTGAGACCCAGAGAGTGACAGCACCAAGATAATTAGGGGAGCCTGGGTCCAGGCTCCATGGCTGCTTGGGTTTTGTTTTTGTTTTTATGCTGGTCTTGAGGCTTGAACTCGGGGCTGGATGATGACCTGGAGCTTCTGTTGCTCAAGGGTAATGCTCTACCACTTGAGCCACAGCGCCACTTCCAGCTTTTTTTGATGATTTTTTGGAAATAAGAGTCTCATAGACTGTGCTGTCTGGGCTGGCTTTGAACCGCCATCCCCGGCTCTGAGCCTCAGCTCCCTGAGTAGCGAGGATGACAGGCGTGAGCCCCTGGGGCCCAGCAACACAGCTAGTTGTTAGTTTGTTTTATGTCGGTTGTGGGGCTTGAACTCAAGGCCTGGGCATGAGCCACCAGCGCCCAGCTCCATGGCTACTTCCTAAGGGACTAACAGGCCTCAGTGGTGCATTTCTGAGCTGTGAAGATGAATTTCCAAAAATGACAAGGCACCAGAACAATAGAAGCGGGGGGTCGGGTGTGGAGCACACGCCGCAGGGCAGGACGTCACTGCCCTGGGAAGCGGATCCGCCGGCCGCTTGTGCTGGAGCAGCGCCAGGCACCGGGGTTATCGCCATCACGCTGTCTGTCACCTCACGAGGTCTGGATGGCATCCACAGCACCCGGCCCTGGGGCCCGGTGTGCCAAGTGTGCTGGGTCTATCCAAGAGAGGACAGACACTCCACACCCCTGAGGTGTGCTTTTTTTAGGTCAGTTGTGGGGTTTGAACTCAAGGCCTGGGCGCTGTCCCTCAGCTCTTGTTGCTCAAGGCGAGCGCTCTACCATTTTGAGCCACGGCACCACTTCCAGTTTTCTGGTGCTTAATTGGAGATGAGAGTCTCACGGGCTTTCCTGCGTGGGGCTGGCTTCAAGCCTCGATCCTCAGATCTCAGCCTCCTGAGTAGCTGGGCTGACTGGCGTGCGCGCCCGGCGCTCGGCTTGCAGTTTGCTTTTGAGTGGAATGAGGTCCAGCTCTGCACACAGGACCCCAGCCCCCCCCCCCCGCCATCCCTGGGCTCTTCTCCTCTTGCTGGTGTCTTGGTAGGGCAGGGTGATGCCGGCTCACCCCACTTCTTGCTGTGAGGCTCCCACACTTGCTCCGCACCGCATCCCGAGGCCTGGGAGCCATTGAAATGCGTTTTCTCTGTGTGCCGCAAGAGCTCAGAGTGTGAGGTTTGAATCTTCCCTGTCTCACACTTGCTAGGGGTTTTGTGTGGTCCCATGTGCAGTCTGGGGTGTTAGAGGACGTCAGCCTCCCCATGGGAAGGGGTTGTGTGAAATAGTTTGGTACATACGCACTGCGCTCAGCTTTGCCAGGTGTGGAGGGCGGGCTGGCAGTGCCGCGAGCTCCGCCCCTCCCCCAGTTCTAGACAGCTGACCTCAGGGACAGCGCTGGGGACCCCTGTGTGCTCTCCTCCTGAGATCCACTCTCCTGCCACTGGGCAGAGGGGTTTGGGGTGTACGGGGAGCAGAAGAGCAACAATGAGGGACTTCTCTCCAGTTCTCTGGACTATTTGTTCATTTATTTATTGGTGGTGATGGGATTTGAAACGAAAGCTCCACACTGGTAGGCGTAGGCGAGCCCTCTGCCGCTTGACCTATACCCCTAAGCCTTTTTGTCTTAGTTTATTTTTCAGATAGGATCTTATACTTTTTCCCTGGGATCCATCATCCTCAGACCAAAAGCAGCTCTCTTACTTTCACCTCCCGAGTAGTTGGAATTATAGGCGCACGCTACCACTCCAGCTTGTGTGTTCAGATCGGGGTCTTGCTAACTTTTTGTTTTGACCACAGTCCTCCTGACCTGATCTCTGCCTTCCTCCCCGGTGGTTGGGATTACAGAGTGAGCTGTCACACCAGCTCGATCCCCTCTATTTAACATTCCAACGCTCTTTAACTGCATGGATTGAATTGTGATCACCCAACACCATGTAGATTCGAGCACAGCCTCAGCCTGCCAGGCATTACGCGCGACCTGGAGATGCCACAGCTGTGTGTGCTGCTGGCTTCTCCCGCTGCCCAAGGACCCCGTTCGCTTTTCCTCCATCTTTCCAGCTGAGCCGGGAACACAAGAAAGAACATGTGACAGCCTGGTCCTAAGCGCCTTCAAAGATGATTGTTGTGAAATGGCAGCAGTGGCACCTCAGCCCCTGCCCCCTTCCCCTGCCCCCCCGCGCCCCCTCTCCCCCCACTGGAGGAAGGAGTGGATGTTTCTGCGGATCTTCCCACGCAGAGTCAGAAGCTGCCACTAATAAAACAGGAAGAGGGGAGGCACTCTTGTTTCCTCCCAAGACAGCCAGGCGGGGCCCGGCGGCTTGCCCCGTTCACAGGAGGGATTCTGAAGCCCGTGCCAGCTGTGGGCCGGCCAGCTCAGGAAACTGAGGCTCGGAAGGGTGGAAACACACCCTTATCCCGGGTGCACAGAATGTTCTCGGCCGAGGCTGAGCGGGACCCAAACCCAGGCTTGCTGATATATAGACAGGCCCAGGCAGCTGAGTGCACACACCGCAGGACGGCCTCCAGCCCCACCAGGACCCCTGCCCTGCCCTCTCACCTGCTCCCCAGACACCCCTAGACCTCCCAAGGCCCACAAGCCGTGACGGTCCCTAACCAGGCCTGAAGCCACGGGAGGTGCTGAGCTGGGCTCTGAGACGGCACCTGGAGGCCCCAGGGCCTCAGGCTCTCTTGGGCTGGACAGGACAGGGGTTCAGAGCACTCTGGCCCTCTGGGGTGGTGTACCCCAAAGGAAATGTGGGACTCCATGGCAGAAAATCAAGGTGCTTGGTGTAGGAGCACAGGCTCACTGGTTTCTGAGTCAGGCTGACCTGGGCCCAGCGCTGCATGACTCTGAGCTAGTTACTTCTCTGAGGCTACCAGGAGGATCAAATGAGGTGATGCATGTACAGCACCCAAGCACTCAGTAAAATACAGCTGAAGTAAAAATTACCAGTGTGAGACCAGCTCAGCCCACATCCCCCACCTGTCCACGGACCTGCATCTCTTCTGAGGCCCGCTGAGCCCTGAGCTTCTGGTCTATACACACAGCTTCATAGATCACTAGGTCGCTAGCCTCTGCCCGTCCCCTTCACACACACCCCACCCCACTTTACAAGTGCAGGAGAGCCCACGGTGCCCCACGGTTACCTGCCTGTGTGGGGCCAGTTTCTCACTTGGCTTGGCTTATCTCTTCCAGGTTCATGTGCTCCCAGCTGCCCAATCAGGTCCTGAAGAGCATCAGCATCATTGACAGCCCTGGCATCCTATCAGGGGAGAAGCAGCGCATCAGCCGAGGTCGGTGTCCGCCCTCTCTCCTCCTCCCCCCACCCACCTCTGCCATGATATCCGAGCATCCCTGCCCGGGCTTGTGCTGTCCACCCTGAGCAGCTGAGTGGGTCCTGGGGAACAGCTGGAGGCGAGTCTTTCTAGACGCTTAATTCCTTTACCTTGTCATGTGCTCCTGGTACTCAGCTCAGTCTCTGGGGTCAAGAGGTAACTTGCCATGGCTCAGGGACAGGAGGTAACTGATGAGTCAGGAAGGGCTACTCCAGGCTTCCAAAGCCACTAAGTCTCTTTCTGCCATCTGGAGAAGAAACAAAACACCAACAAACACAAACATCCCAACTGTTGTTCTTACAGGCATCTATGTCCATTTTCTTCTTTGGTAAAAGTAACAGGTGTTTGCTGGAAAGGCTTTACCCTGCGTGAGGGTACAGAGCAGACTCGATCTCACCATCATTAGTGGCTTTCTCACCCCGCCGAGGCTTGGTCCAAGGGGAATCCAAATCTTCCCAACAGAAACAGGACAGCCACATGTGCTCCAACAGCCTGTGTCACCCGCGTCATTCACCACCATCATCCACACAGAGTTCACGTCGTGTTTCTCCCTCCAGCAGTGGTCTGGACTCCACGAAACACATTCACCATCTATATAATTTGTGAGCCGTGTTTTAGGGAGTGTGGCAGGTGATCATCTTTTCTGGTGTAGCTGCGCATCAACGCGTGTCCGTAGCTGCTGTTATTGTTGTTAGTGTCTTACGATAGCCTAGGCTGGCCTCAACTTGTCATCCTCCTGCCTGGACTAATCTCAAGTTCTGGGATTACAGTCCTGCAACACCAGGCCCAGACTTTTTTCCTTCTTCTTTTTCTTCTAAGAGCCATTTGGCAACCAGTCATTTGGCCCATGAAAGGTGGCAGTTGAAGTGTTTTGTTTTGAAAGAAAAAGCAAGACGGGTAATGCATAGCTTTTCTGAGACACTTGTGCTTTCTTCTTTCTGTACGTCTGACCCAAGTAGGCTGGAGGAAGTGTGTGGCCTTGGCGAATCTTCATTCTTACCACCAGCGTTTAAGATTTCTTGGGTGTGGTTCCATTGTACCTACTGCTTTTTACTGGTAGCCTTTGGCGGCCTCTCATCTCCATGTCCTCTGGTGTTTCTCTTTGGCTCAGCAGTTATGAGCGTCTGTCCTGATGCTTTCCAGCAAGCTCTGAAGGTGGCTCCTTTTTAACACTTGATGATCCGATCTGACTCACATCCTGGGCTGACTGCTCATAGTGTGTACTTACTCACATCCCAGAAATAACAGAGCGGGCTCACGACAAAGCCCTGCTCTCTGCCGGCACCGAGGCTGCAGGGGTGGCACTTGACCTGCAGAAGACAGCACGCCATGCCCAGGCATCCCAGGTCTGGAGCTTCTCACGACATCTCATGACACTAGCCCCCCAAAATAAGGACGTACCTTAAACCTACTATAGCATAAGCAACAGCACACAGGGCTACATCCTCCCCCTAGCCATGTCCACATCCTCACCTCCATCAGCTTCCGCACTGAGCGATCTGTGCAGTACAGACCAGCTGAATTTATTGGTGGAGCTCTGCCCCCTGTGAAAAAGGAAGGGGCAACCGACGTCCCGCCCCCTGCCTCTTCTACTTCCCCTCCTGCGTTGATGGATTAGCCCTTAACAAGCCCACTGACACCCTAACTACTAAGTAGGTCCCTCACACATTTAGAATCCGCTTGGCATGTGTGTACTAAACAATTCGGTAACGGCCACCGGGTACTGTGCAGTGTCTACACGGCCAGTCATTTAGGATTTATGACCTGGTTTAAACCCTGGAGTCTCAAAGCTGGCCTCGCTCCTGCTTTCACCCCCTTCCTCCTCATGAGGGTGCTCTGAACTCCAGTCAACCAGAATGCCCCGCCAGCATTCAGGAGAAGGGCCGTCTTCTCCATCTCCTCCTTAGGGCCTTAGTAGATGAAACCGATTGCTGAGAGATTTTGGAGCGCTTGCTAGTGTACAGCTCTGTGCAGACTTGCCTGCATCTTAGCTTAGTTATAGCTAGCAGAAGATCCTCAGGAACAAAATGTTGCATTTACATACTGAATGGTAGCTCTCTTGGCTGGTATGAAGGAGTAAGTTGCCATCTAGCAAGGACAAAAGTGTTCCAATGAGCTGAACACTCGTGGCTCACGCCTGTAATCCTAGCTACTTAAGCCAGCCCAGACAGGAAAGTCTGTGAGACCCTTAGCTCCAGTTAACCACAAAAACCCTCAAAGTGGAGCTGTGGCAGAGTGGTAGAGCACTAGCATTGAGCACAAAAGCTCAGGGACATTTCAAACCCTAATATTGGCACCAAAAAAAAAAAAGGTTCTAATCTACTTATGATCATTTTATTATACATAAGGAACAGCTACCTAAAAGGCACACGCATTCTTATTGATTCTTTCCTTGGCGGAAAAGAACATGTGGACTCTTGAGATGGGGTCTGAGGTGAGTGGGGCAGAGTCTGAGAGGGGTCACTGCTCTCACAGCCGCACCCACAGCGCTGACCGCGGTGAGGACACGGATGTCCTCATGAGTCCTGGCTTTAATTCCCAGTCTGCTATCAGCCCTGCTCCTCCATGTGGCTTCCTAGAATACTGTTGATTACAAATGGAATAGACATAAGCTGGACGTTTTTCTGGACTCGGCGTGAGTACCTGCTTGGGACACACCTGGAGTCTGGCTCTGATCATGTGGGCCCTGTCTGAAGCAGAAGGCTTTCAGCATCTGCACCTTGGTCGTGCACTGGTCTGTGGCTGTGTGGAGCTACAGATGTTATTCGGTGCTGTTTCAGCTGTGGTTCCTGCGGCCACAAGTGGAGGGTAGTCTTCCGTAATCTTCACTGTGGCAGCAAAACAGTGCAATTTCCCCTTTTAAGAAAATGAAAAATAGGGCTGGGAAGGTGGCTCAGTGGTAGAGTGCTTGCCTTGCATGCATGAGGCCTTAGGTCCAATTCCTCAGCACCACATAAGCAGAAAAAGCCAGAAGTGGCCCTGTGGCTCAAGTGGTAGAGCGCTAGCCTTGAGCTGAAGAGCTGAGGGACAGCGCCCAGGCCCAGAGTTCAGGCCCCACGACTAACAACAACAACAAAAAAAGAATGTAAAAAATAACCAGGTGCTTGCTGGTGGCTCACACCTGACATCTACTCAGGAGGCTGAGATCCGAGCATCACAGTTCAAAGTCTGCAAAGGCAGGAAAGTCCATGAGACCCTTATCTTCGGTTAACCAGCAAAGTGCTGGAAGTGGACATATGGCTCAAGTGGAAAAACACTAGCCTTGAGCAAAAAAGCCAAACAAGAGCATGAAGCTCTGAGTTCAAGCACCATTGCCTTTGCACATGCGCGCGTGTGCACACACACACACATATGTGCACACACATAACTTGGGACGGGGGGGGGGGCGGGGGGGTCCTTGGTCTGAATCTTCCAATGAGTCTGCTCCTTCTTCCAGAACCATAAACCTTCTCAAATGAGAGCTGGAGACTTTTCCCCCTGTGTTGACGCCCTTGTCCCTCCCAGCCTGTCCATTACAAGGCAGTACCGGGGACTTCTCAGAAAATGTCCCGCCAGTAGAGCAGTAACCAGCGGCAGGGCACACACAGGAGTGTCCACGCACCAGTCAGAACCCAGCAAAGCACAGCTCAGGTTCAACTGTGGCAGACAGCCCTTCCACCACCCGCGTGGCTGGCCGTTAGAAGGGACTGCCAGCAAAGCCGGGCTCCTCAAACAAAGTCTCCCCACAGAATTGCCTGCGCTGGGAGCCTGGGCAAGGAAGTCCAAGCTGTGATTAATAAGGGTATGGGGAGGGGGCGCGGGGCAGGGAGAAAGAAAGGGTGAGAACAGACCATAATCAGGGAAGTGCAAACACCTCTACATGACAAGTTTTTTTAACTTTAAAGACAAAAGACCGGATTTTGAGGGCTGCCCAGGAAAGGAGAGAGGACATTTAGAGAAGTCCAGATAAGAAGGACTTCCCCTCCCAGACTCTGGGTGACTCAGGAAGGATCTCGAGAAACCCACTAAGCAAAGGAGAACATGCCTTGTCTCTTGAAGCCCTGGGATGAGCTGGAAGGGGCCTGTGACTGACCCCCCCCCGGCCCTGACTCCCCAGGGGTGCTTGCTGCAGGCTTCCTCCTCACCCAGGGCATTACTGGGGTTTGAACCGTGAGCCACACGGTTGTTAAGTAGGCACTCTACCACTTGAGCCACACACCCCAGCCTTGAGTACATTCTCCTTCCTCATGTGAAGCTGGTATGACAGGCACACACCACCGCACCCAATTGTTTTTGAGACTTACTAACTTTCTGCCTATGCTGGCCTTGAGCTGAAATTCTTCTTTGTCTGCTTCCCCAGTAACTGGGATTACGGGTGTGTGCCACTGCACCTGCCTAGTGCAAAACTTCTTGATTTTTTGCTGTTGTTGTTTTATTTCTTAGCTTTTTCTCTTTGTAACAGTTCAGGCTCTCAGCCCCACTGAGGAGCAGGATTAGGGGGGGACAGGGTAGAGAACCCTAGAGAACAGAACACAGGTCCTCGGGCTCAGATCACGAAGCCACTTTGATATTTCCGGTTTGAGTTCGGTGTTTGATTTGGCATCAGTAGAAAATTGTCCATCCCAGGGGCCTGGGACCGACAGCTGATAATTTGTAGGCAGATCCTGTTTTCTAGGGGTGGAAGGCGTCTCGGGTTGGTGGGAGAGGCAGGCAGAACACCGCTCACGCCTTGGGCCTCGGCAGGAAATCCTGATTTCGTTCTGTTTCGGGGAAGTTTGCTGACAAACACATCCACGGCCCCTTTCCCACTGGTGCCACGGGAAATTCCACACCACCTGTGTGGCTCCTTGGGCCCCAGATGTGAACACAACCTCACCGCGGCGGAGCGCGGCAGCGCAGGCCCAGCCGCTCTATGTAGATGCTGTTCATATTTTCAATGCATAACTGACCGCGAGGAATGACAGTCTTGACGTCAGCTA